ATGGGAATGTCAGCTTTCTTCTCCAGTTTAATGGCACAGAAACACCCATCAGTGCACCAGATGGAGATGGTCCAGTCAACCACACAGTCTCATCTCTCAGTGCTGGAAGCAAATACACATTCACTCTCTTCTCTGTGTTTGAGAATGTCAGAAGCAGTGGACTCCAGCTGACAGCAGCCACTGGTGAGATATTTATATCAACAGATCAACAGGAAAAATAAAAAATTTGTATTTTTCTCATCTGGATTAGTTAAATCTACCTATTTCAAAAGATGAGAATTCATTCTCAAACTCAAAGCAGTTAAAAACAAGTTTCTAGAAGACTATTTTCCACATCTTTTCACATTCGTCCTTTTTGATAATACGATATAAATTGATAATTTACATTATTCATCAGTGCTTCTATCAATTCCGTGTTAAATCTTAATGTAGCAACATGTATGTATCATGTTTTTAAAATGAGTCTCTGCTCCAATGTCTTATTTCCAGCTCCAGTAAATGCAGACAGCTTCAGAGCATCAGGACAGACTGAGACCAGGATCACTCTGCAGTGGAATAAACTCCATGGGAATGTCAGCTTTCTTCTCCAGTTTAATGGCACAGAAACACACATCAGTGCACCAGATGGAGATGGTCCAGTCAACCACACAGTCTCATCTCTCAGTGCTGGAAGCAAATACACATTCACTCTCTTCTCTGTGTTTGAGAATGTCAGAAGCAGTGGACTCCAGCTGACAGCAGCCACTGGTGAAATATTTCTATCATCAGATCAACTGGAAAAATTCATTGTTTGTGCTTTTCTCCTGTAGAAATAGTTCAAACTACCTTTTTTTAAAAGCAGACAATTTAGCCACATATTCATAACATCACAAACAACGTTTTGATAGCAGTTATTGTCCAATTCGTTTTACATTCATGCACTTCAACAATGGATAATGTTCATAACTGACACGTTTCTTTGTCATTTTCTATCAGTTCTATATGAGACATAAATATTAATGACACACCTCGTATGTATCATGTCTTCAAAAAGATGTTTTTCTCCAATGTCTCATTTCCAGCTCCAGTAAATGCAGACAGCTTCAGAGCATCAGGACAGAATGAGACCAGCATCACTCTGCAGTGGAATAAACTCCATGGGAATGTCAGCTTTCTTCTCCAGTTTAATGGCACAGAAACACCCATCAGTCCACCAGATGGAGATGGTCCAGTCAGCCACACAGTCTCATCTCTCAGTGCTGGAAGCAAATACACATTCACTCTCTTCTCTGTGTTTGAGAAAGTCAGAAGCAGTGGACTCCAGCTGACAGCAGCCACTGGTGAGATATTTTTATCATCAGGTCAACTGGAAAAATGAAAGATTCGTATTTATCTCATCTGGATTAGTTAAATCTATTTGTTTATAAAGATAAGAATTCAGCCTCAAACTCAAAGCAATCGAAAAAAGCGTTTCTAAATCAATATTTTTCACATCAATATATGTGTTCATGCCCTTCCACTGTAAATTATGTTTTCAATTATGGCATTTTTATTTGTCAATTCTATCAGTTCCTTGTGAAATATCAAATTTGATTGTAAAGTTTTAATGTATTGTGTTTTCAAAATGAAGTTGTGCTCCAATATCTCTTTTCCAGCTCCAGTAAATGCAGACAGCTTCAGAGCATCAGGACAGAATGAGACCAGCATCACTCTGCAGTGGAATAAACTCGAAGGGAATGTCAGCTTTCTTCTCCAGTTTAATGGCACAGAAACACCCATCAGTCCACCAGATGGAGATGGTCCAGTCAACCACACAGTCTCATCTCTCACTGCTGGAAGCAAATACACATTCACTCTCTTCTCTGTGTTTGAGAATGTCAGAAGCAGTGGACTCCAGCTGACAGCAGCCACTGGTGAGATATTTCTTGTTGTATATGTTTCATATGATCCCTTGCCATGATCTACTAATTTTATTTTTCAAGAATTTATTGCTTGAATCATTAATCCTCATTTCCCCTTTTTATATACAAATGATCACTTTCTTGCCAAATGTTTTGATTCTTCAACTACAGGACCAAGTAAGTTCATCCATTTAAAATCTACAACACTGAAAAGTCTTCATGATATTGTCTTTAAGTGGTTTCCGTATCACTGTGTTTTTATCTCATGCTTTTTCAATTATATTGTGTTTAACAAGAAATATGGCTTTTGTTTTACCACTTATTCATAAAAAACTGGAGAACCTTTTACTTTTACTGTCTAAGTACAACATTTGTCTCAGTAATTTATAATATAATGTAGTATATAACGATTAAAATAATGCACATGTACACAGGGAT